AAATGACTCCAATTCACTCCCTCAATTGCCTGGCTACACAGCATGCTTGTAAAGGGCATCAGTAACCCAAATGTAAAACATGTCCCAAACTTCAAGGCCTCCACCATTCTTAGATTCTTCACGGTCTCTCTCACTGTTCCAATACCAACTGCCCCTAGGCTGAATAGTGTCTACGTGTGTGTGAGTGTAAGCACGTGTCCCACTCCCAAAATTTATCTGTTGAAACCTAACCCACAGGGTGATGTTTTGGGATGTGGGGCTTTCAAAAGGTGACTAGGTCGTGAGGGTGAAACCCATATGAATGGGATCAGTGCCCTTACGAAAAGTAAAAGCGTTAGTTGCTCAGTCGTGTCTGACTCTTTGGGTCCCCATGGACTGTAGTCTGCCAGGCTCCTCTGTCAATGGAATTCTCCAAGCAAGAATACTAGAGTTGGTTGCCATTCCGTTCTCTAGGCAGGGATAGAACCCAGGTCTCCTGCATTGCAGGCAGATTCTTCACCACTGAGCCCCCAGGGAAGTCCTTACAAATCAGCCCAAGAAAACTCCCTTGCCTCTTCCACCTTGTGAGGACACAATGAGAAGCTGGCAACCAGAAAAAGGGTTCTTGCCAGAGCCTGACCATGCTGACACCTGATCTCAGACTTTCAGCTTCCAGCACTGATAAATTTGTGTTGCTTTTAAGCCACTCACTCCATGGTACTTTGCTATAGCAGTCGAACCTTACAAGACATCAGCTTCTTTCTTCTAAGTTCAGTCTATACCCTCCTTTCAAATCCAACCTCTCTTCTACACACTTTTCAGTCATTTTTCAAATGCTTAAAATAATCACCTCTTGGCCAACTAGCAATGACCCACCTTTCTTGCCTTCAAGTTTACTTCCTCCCCAAACCCTTACTTTAGATGACTTGCCTACTTACTTAGGGGATGTGCTACCTTTACCTATGGAAACACTAGGCAATGATTGTGTTTGAAGTCCTCCATCAAGGACTGGAACCATCGCTAGAGCATGCAGAGAGGGTGACCAAAAAGTTTGTTCAGACTTTTCCATAACATCTTGAAAAACCCAAGATAACATTTTGGCCAATCAGCATGGAGAAAGGATGCAGAGAAATACAAAAGGGTTACTGTTACTCTGCTGTTCAACAGAGATGCTTCAAGGTTGCAAGCATGAGAGATAGTGGATACAAAGTGGATCAGACCTTGAGCCAATACATTGTAACCCCTTTCTTTGCTTATGGTTATGCCCATGGATACAAGATCCTAGAGGTAAAATAGATGCAAGTCATTTTAAGAAAATTGGGAAAATTTGAATCTATTTATTTATGGGGTGCCCATATGTGCAAACCACTAAACAAATATTTAATGAGTTCCTATTATCTTAAGGCACTTTGCCTGTTGTTGGGAATACAGAAAACAGGAAGTCCTTGCCCTCAGGGAACTTTCAATTTAGTGAGATGCAGTTAAACAACAAGAACAGCAACACAGAGCGATTAGTGCAGGTGAAGGAGCAAGAGTACCTACACAGGAGCACCAAGGGCTCACAAACCCAATCAGGATGCAGTCGGGATGGAGAACTAGAGGCATAGGAAAAGGGCCCACACAAGAGGCCAGGTGAGCACCAGAGGGAGGGCAAATACTAGGCAGGGTAATTCAGGGCAGGGGGTGGGGGCGGGGGGGGGTGCTACATAGCACTGACACGATCACCTTACAGTCCTCCTGGGAGAACAACCTAAGTCAGAGATGGAAATGATTTAGGATGGGGCTGGCTTTCCAATCAGAGTTCTGAGCAGCCTGGTTCATCAGGAGATCAGAAAAGAGAAGACTGGGGGTAGAAAAGGGGACCTGAGGGGCTTCCCTGCTGGCCCATTGACGAAGAATCTGCCTGCCAGTGCAGGAGACACTGGTTCAATCTCTGATCCAGGAAGATCCCACAGGACGTGGAGCAACTAAGCCCATGTGCCACAACTACCGAGCCTGGGAGCTGCAACAAGAGAAGTCATCACAATGAGAAGCCTGTGCACCGCAACTAGAGAAAAGTCCACATAGCAACGAAGACCCAGCCAGCCAAAAATGAAATAATAAATAACATTTTAAGAAAGAAAAGGGGATCTGAGCTAATCAGCCACAGAACAATGGGTACATGCGGTGGGAGGTACTGCTGCCGGGGCCTTGACCTGAACAGAGTCATAAATGGGTGGAGAAGAGGGCATCTTCGAGGCAAAGTAGAACAGAAATCTACAGACAGCAGACCAAGGGGAAAGGCTGTTCAGGGATTACTTAGCTTCAGAGTCAAGTAACTCCTAGCCTATTAGAATAACTGAGACACGTATACGCACCTCTAGAGAAATCTGATAAATCAGACTGCATGGTAATGTGGAAACAGTCCTTAACTAGCAATCAGGAGACCTTTCTGGTCTTCCCTGAGCCTCTGTCAAATGAGGGTGCATAAGGACAGTGTCCATAAATGAGAAGGTAAATTAACTTAGTCCTTCCCAGCCTGCATTCTTTTTCTTCTTCTTAAAAACAGAAAAAGAAAACAGAATATAGTCTACATGTGCAGTGCTCACAGGCAAAACTACTGCTTTGCGAGACATTTGCTTCAGATATTTAGACACCAATGTGTATGTGTGCTTGATGTAGATGTAAAACATAAAATATGTTCCTTCTTGTGGGGTCACAATCAAAAAAGTTTGAAAAGCACAAGGTGTCTAAGGTTTCTTTAAATCCTAAGATTGTCATTTAGCCTTTAAGTTCTAACCTATTTAACAGGTGAGCAAATCAACCTTGATGTGAGTTCTGGCATAAAACTAAATCAGTTCCGGGCAAAGGTGATCTATGTGCTCAGCTATGTGCTGTGTGTCTGTGTGTGCTAAATTACTTCAGTTGTGTTCGATTCTTTAGGACCCTATGGACCACAGCCCACCTGGCTCCTCTGTCCATGGGATTCTCCAGGCAAGAACACTGGAGTAGGTTACCATGCCCTCCTCCAGAGGATGTTCCTGACACAGGGATTGAACCTACATCTCTTATGTCTCCTGCACTGGCAGGCAGGTTCTTTACCACCAGCACCACCCCATCACACAATTCAAAACTTAACCTTACCCAAAGTCACGCCCATAATTAAATTACATATGACACACGTCTCTGGGAAATAATTATGTCTCATGTATGTTGTAACACAGACACACCTGCATATTCAGGGCAAAGGATTTGCCTCACGTCTGAAAAAAGATTTCATTCTAATCTAGACATTTACATATAGGAACAGTGTTCTACAGAAATTTCACCAAATAACCTACTCAAAGTGGGATTATGTTTCACTTTAAGATCTAATGCCAACCCTTAATTTTAATACCTTGACCAACAGCAGCTACTAGCAATCAATCATGTGTGACAAACATGTATTTGAAACTCTTTATTGAAACAGGTGACTTTTTTAACTACTTGTAGATTCTGACTCAGGGGCTTCCCTGGTGGCTCAGCAGTAAAGAATCCACCTGTCAATGCAGGAGACAAAGACGTAATCCCTGGATCAGGAAGATCCCCTGGAGAAGAACCCACTCTAGTATTCTTGCCTGGAGACTCCCATGGAGAGAGGTGCCTGGTGGGCTACAGTCCATGGAGGTCTCAAGAATTGTACAACCTCAGCCTAAACCACTTTCAAAAAGCTTCATCCAAATGAAGTCCTTCAAGACTTCAGGAGAAGAATGTGAATAAGTATTTCCCTGATGGATAGGCCATTTTCCCAGAAAGGCAGAGAATAATTTATGAACATATGCATGAACAGGAATGAGGACAAAAATCACTAATGTTGGCAGCCTGCAAGTGCCAGGCAAACACATTTTAGATAAAGACTACACCTGTCAGTAGCGTAACAGTGCCAATTATACCTATTCTGGGGGCTCTTTCATCTGAAGCAATCTGATGTCAGAGAAGACATGACCTCAGGTGTTTTCACCATCCTGCTACCAGGTGGCTGGGGTGAAGCCACAGACACCTAGACTGGAGCACAAACAGGTGGACGTGACTTGCCCACTTACCAGACTTCTGGGTGACTAGAGACTAAAATTCAAGTTTGGTTTGCTGGTCTTACCATATCAAGCCCCAAAACCAAGCCCCTAGTTTGTGCCTTGCACATAAAAGACTCCCTACTGAGGGACACTTCCTACTACTGAGGACACTTCCTAGTCCTTCTGTGAATGCTAATTCAAGGTCAAGAGATTCCGCAAGCCCTTTAAGCACAAGATTCGAACTCCTCCTGGGTTTTTTTTTTGGGGGGAGGGGGGGTTGTTGTTGTTTGTTTGTTTGTTTTAACTAAGTTTCTGATAAAGATCCCAGGCCCACCACCACCAGCTAAACTTCCTGACCGCCGTGCCAGCTACTCAGCCCCAGAAGTCCAACTTCACACCACCCGATCTTCCACCTCCCTCCAAGGCAGCCCAGACGTGGCCCCGCTGAGCACTTTACAACCGGAACGTATTTTGGAAGCCGTCCCGCCGCGCCCCCTGACTTTACAAGGAAGGAAACAAGAGGTTTGAGCTCATGCGCCGGGCCCAAGGTCACTTCACCCTGAGGCCCTCCAGCCTCTGGCCGCCGATTCACACAAACTCAACGCGAACCAAGTTGTCTCTGCCCCGTATTTAAGCATGCCCACACTGCCACTTGTGGTGCCCAGAACCACAAAAGACCCAGCTGGGGAGATCGGGGGAACCCAGGCGTGCCAAAGCAGGCAAAACCCTGCGAATCTGAACTCTCCAGGAACCAGAGGGCTGGCGGGGTTCTTGAAGGGGGTGAAAGAAAGCCAGGGATGGAAAAGAAAAGAGAAGCCAGGACGGCCGCGGAGCGGGGTGTGTGTGTGCGTGGGGGGAGGAAATTTCTGCTCGCCCACAACCCCGAAGGAGGGTCCCTCTCCCCTCAGGCCGCCCCAGAGGCCCCCAGGGGATGCCAGCCCGGCCCCCTCGCAGCGGCCGGCCAGGCCTGGCGACCCTCGCCGGGCTCACCGGGTGCGCAGCGCCTGCCACGCGGCGTCGATGTCGGCGTAGAGGTTCTTCTCGGAGGGCTTGCCGGAGCTGACGCCGTAGCCNGGCCTTTCCTTCACCCTGCGCTTCCGACGAGCGGTCTCTGCCTCAGTCAGGGAAGGCTGACAGCTGTAACCAACAGCCCCAAAGTCTTATCACGACAAAGACCTCTTCTCACCCTTGTGGTCGGCCGAGGAGCTCAGCTTCACGCATTCACCTGGGACCCACCGTGGGCACGAGCACCTGGGTGGCCTGGAGGCGGCCTGGCCTCATCCGGCCGGTGAGCAGACATGAACCACGTGGACGCCGCCGCCTCTTCCGGGTTACAGCGGGCTGGCGCCCCTGCCAGGACCCGGGCCGGGCCGGCGTCTGGGCGGGGCTGCCCCGCCGCCTACCCCGACTCCGCGCGCGGGGGCGCGGGCACCTGCTTTGGCCTGGGAAGCGCGTCCTCCTCCCCGGGACGCCCAGGCACCCGGAGCAGGGTCTGTATGCAGGGGCAAGTGGGCAGATCCCCAGAGGGGTTCCGGGAGGGGACGCGAGCACCTTTGCCCCCCTGGGAAGCAAGACCGGAGGCCGACAGGGCCTCTCCGAGAGCGCAGAGGCCCGGAGCAGCGGAGCGCTCCTGGTTAGGCATGGGGGCACCTGGGCCGATCGGGAGACGGTGGCGGGTGGGGACAATGGAAGGGGAGCAGGTATACTCCCGGATCGGACTCTTCCTCTCTTTCCCCTCTCCCTGGAATTCCCTTCCCCAAATCCAAGTTTTCTCATGCGTGGAGATTTTGGGGAATTTATTGAACAATTAACGAATGAAAGAGACTTGAAATGAACCTGAAATTCTTGGCTCTTTGTGTCCATTGGTGCTTTCTGAACTGGCTCTTCCCAAAGTCTCAGGACCATCAGGGAACTGGTGGTGTGGGATAGAGCGCCGATGGATCGCTGCATCTCCCTGTTACAGGAGGTTGTTTCTGCCTGTGTAACTACAGTATTGAGCTTCCCTGGTGGCTCAGTGGTAAAGGATTCGCCTCCCAATGCAGGAGAACCAGGTTCGATCCCTGGGTGGGGAAGATACACTGGAGTAGGAAATGGTACCCCACTCCTGTATTCTTGCCTGGAGAATCTCATGGACAGAGGACCCTGGTGGGCCCCAGCCCATAGGCTCACAAAGAGTCAGACACAACTTACCAACTAAACTACAGTATTACTTTCCTAGGAGCATGACTGGGCCTTCAGTAAACCCCTGTGTCCATAATAGTCAGCTATTATAACAGGACCACTCTATATATTTAGTAATATACTACGTTGCCACTGTCCTTTCTCGTCCCAAGGGCAGTAGATTTTCTGGTGGTAACTAGATGTCCTTTACAGCCCTAGTTCCTCTAGACTTGTTTCTGGAATCCAGGATTTTTAATCAGGAGAGATTTTACGATGATTTAAATCCATTGTAATCTTGGCACTCACCTTTAAGTGATATATTTTTTTTTCCAAATATTACTCTCAGTGTCTTGAAACTGAGTAGCCTCTGGTGCCAATTTCACAGAGCCTTCCACCACTTCCTTTTTCCTTCTGATTTGGCAGCTGAATTCCCTTTCAGGAATTGACAGTAGATACCCTTCTTGATTGCCAGCAGGGCAGCCAGAGACAAGGAAATTGGCAGCATAACCACTCTGGGTCTCTTGTGTTAACTCACAGATGTCCAGGAGAATTTAAACTTTCCTCTTGGCTTTTGTGGAAGGTGTTATTTTTGAGCACCTTCATCTAAATGAATTTGCCCATCTTGATTGCAGTAACCTTTTGGACCAGGTTTGAAAAGATTATTTGTTCATAAAATAAGTTTTAAATGTTGTTGAAACTATCTGAAAAATTGGCTAAAGAAAACTTGGTTAGCAAAGCTTGTTCTGATTAAATATTTGAAGTCTATTTTAAAGTTATTCACACTTGGTGATCTTTCACCCAAAACCTTTTTTTTTTCTTTCTTTCTTTCTTTCTTTCTTCTAATTTATTTGGCTAGCTGAAGCATGTGGTATTTACTGCCCCAACCAGGGATGGGACCTGCACCCCCTGCATTGTAATCATGGAATCTTAACCACTGGACCACCAGTTGTTGTCGCTCAGTCTTGTTCGGACTCTGCGATCCCAGGGAAGCCCCCAAAACCAAATTTTTATCTTCTGGAGGTTAGATTTCCCTTTTTAAAAAGCTGTATAACTTGCTACTGAATACAAAAATACTGTTGGCATCCAGCATCTATTGATGTAATGTTTCCTATGCTCACAGTACCTAAGATGTTAGAACTTTTGTGTTGAAGCTATAAAGAGAAGACAGTTCCTGCTTTCAGACACCTTACAATTTAACTAGAGTATTGGCAGAAGATTCAGAACACTTTTCCCTGTGAATTATTAAAAAAAAAAAAAAAGAATAAAACCCCAAAAGCTAAGGAAATGGTTTTGAATCCTGATTCAATGGTGATATTTCTGTGGGAAGATAAGATGATTAGCCAAGTGTGTCACTCTCTAATCTTTTCAAGATGAGGATAGAATTTGGAGGATTTTCCCGGTGGTCCAGTGGTTAAGGCTCTGTGCTTCCAATGCAGGGGTGCAGGTTCAATCCTTGGTTGGGGAACTAAGATCCTACTTGCAGCCAAAAAGAAAAATATTTGTTTATATTCCTAAAGGATTTGTGGAGTGAGCATCATGCAGTATAATAACAATAAATACATAAGTAAATAAAAGCCTGGTTTTTATTTTCATTCTCTTAGAAGATTACACAGAGGTGGATTCAAAGAGTATTTATTTCCCTGGACAGTATGTTGGTTCAGGTTTGTGGGAATATTAAATTGAGACCCTCTTTTAAATGAGTTTGCCCATACTGATTCCAGTAACCTTTTGGACCTGGCTTCAAAAGACTGTCTTCACAAAAGTGATTTTAGATGTTTTTGAGCTATCCAAAAAGTTAGCTAAAGAAAATCTGGTTGATGAAGACTGTTCAGACTATGTATTTGAAGTCTATTTTTAAGTTATTCACACTTGAAGTTTTACCCCAAACCAAAGTTTTTGTGTATGCTGTAGAATAGAGTTCCCCCAAACTCTCTCACCTCATGCCTCTTCTAGTCATAGTGAAATTTATGGAGCCCCTCAACACAATGCCCCTCCCCAGGAGGGAGAGTTTAATATCTCTGCCACACCTCTCACACCCATGACAAAAGTAGCAGCCTGCCTTGGCATACTGGTTGCAAAAACTTCAACATGCAGCCCAGGAAGAATAAATTTGCCCTATATATTTGCAAATCTATTTTCAAAGGTCAGGGATTACTAACTGATCACTTTGATCTTAAAGAATGTCTGTTTGAAAAAAAAAAGAATGCCTGTTTGGCTCTTCCTGCATTTTAGTAGAGAAAGGTAAAACTTTGAGTCTGGGTCAGCAGACATATTTACTAGGTACTTACCATGAGTTGGTCACTGAGTCAATCTGTGGAATGCAGAGGTGGCTAAGACAGCTCCTTCTGCCCTCAACAAGCTCATTGAACGATTTACTACACAGAATAACTACGCATCCTGCTAAGCCATTCTGGGTCAGTAAACTGAACAGGGTTCCAAGTAGTTAAATGCACTGGTCTCTACTATTTAATATTGGCTTTTTGCACATTGAATTTTTCTTCCAGATCAGTCTGCCTGATTCTGAGTTGCTCAAGATCACCCCACTTGTGTCAGCATTTTTCACTGACCATCAGAGGATATTTATGCTTCAAAACAATATGGTTGTTTCAGTGGAAGGTAAAGAGAGATCAAAAATACATTGACCCCTGGGAATTCCCTGGTGGTCCAGTAGTTAGGATTTGACACTTTCACTGCAGGGCCCAGGTTCAATCCCTGGTCAGGGAACTAAGATCCCACAAGCTGAGCCACATGACCAAATTAGAGGGGGGGAGGTGGGGAACATATATATATAGAGAGAGAGACAGCCCTGTTTTATTTTATTTTTTTCTTTAAATTCAGGACTGAATGCTCTGTGAAGGCTAGGATGATGTCTGTTTTGGTCATTTTCCTCTATGCCTCATTTAAAGAAGATGTTCAGTAAATTTTAATTAAATTGATCAATTAAATAATGAGTGAGTCATTTAGTGAATGCATCAAGAGACCAAGGTTATTCCTCCTCTTTCAGACAGTATTGTCAGAGTACAGGCTTTGAGAAAGACAAAAAGAAGCCCAAGTCCATGCCAGCATCCCCCTAGGAATAGACTACACATGTCTGCTGGCTAAGGAATTGTGGCATTCTCCCCATCTTTCTTACTATTGATAATGGAGATCGGGTTAGTTCTGGGCAACAATGCTCCCAGTTAAGACACATAGTCACCTGGCCTCCCCTGCTGTGAAGATGGCCACAGGACACAGTTCTGGCCTATAGTCTCTAAGTGAAGTGTTTTTCGGAGCTTCTAGAAAGACTTAACAGAACCAAACTTATCTGGCATGTTTCTCTTTTCCTGTCCCTTAATTCCCGCTTGGGTTGCAGGCATTATTATTACTAGAGCTATGAGAGCCACCTTGCCACAATGAGAGTGAATTTCATAGTTGAAGATGGTGGAGAAGAAAGAGAAAACTCTAGGCCCCTCATGACATTGCTGAACAACTGCCCAGCTTTGCCTTCACCTGGGCTTTTTACTTTGTTTTTATGTCTTTATTGAATTTGTTACAATATTGCTTCTCTTTTGTATTTTGGGTTTTTGGCCACAAGGCATATGGGATCTTAGTTCCCCAACCAGGGGCCAAACCTGCGCCTCCTGCTTTGGAAGGCTGAAGTCTTAACCACTGGACCATCAGGGAAGTCCCTGTGTTTCTTGTTCTATGAGAACAATAAGTCACTTTATGTAACTGTTAATAGTTGAGTATTTTGTTACCTGTAGCCTAATGCAATAATTAGGAATCTGATTCAGGAAACAGAAAAGAAAGATCCAAACATTGTTCTTAACTGCTTTCTCAATAAAGTCAAAGAATATTTTGTTGATAACAGTGAAATAGTTATGGCTTCTTTTTCCTTCATTTAAAAAAATTTTTAAAGTATGACTAGAGATGGGGTAGATTTTTGAGGAGATATCTATTAAACAAATCCTTTGGAAAAGTGAAGAAAATCAAGCCGATAATTTTGAAGATAGTATAGATAACATTTGAGGCCATTCTGGGAAATCTGAGCCAGTGCTCATTAGGGTAAGGGCCTGCCATTCAACTGAACGCTTTTGGAGGTGAAGTATCTTTTTCCCAGAACCTCTCAGGCTAAGGGCTCT